GTGCATGTTGTGCTCTTCGTAGTCTTACCTCGGCTGTCCGCCTGTTTGTAAAGCGAAAAAAGAAAGTGCGTCGCTAAGAAATATTCATCCCAAGGACTGTGCGGGCATCACTGGTGGTGACGGAGGTATATGTGTCTAGTATCTTTCTAGCGAGAACACTGAAAACAAGTAATGGCAAAAACAACGAAGAACAAGGTTCAAATTGCAACCGGCTAATTAAGGAAACGCTTAGGCCCAAACAACGAAACGTTCCTTTCCTTTGACCGCGTCCTCTCCTTACGTGCGGCTTCCTTACAACCAAGTACCGACGGAGGAAGCAAGCCGTATTTACCTGCACATAAGTGAGGAGTATCCCTTGCGGTTGCGGAAGACCTCGGCGTTCTCGCCTCCAGGGCTCACAATCGGGACGTGCGTGCAGTCTATACACCCCGTTACACCTGGAACAGGCCAATTGCGTAGAAGCGGGCCATCACAGCATTCGCGTCTGCTGCATCGGGGAGTCACACATATTTGGGAAACAGACGCAAACATATGACCTGGGTGATCTCCCAGACACAACGCGACACATACTGCTGTGAGACGCGCACGAGGTCGCCAACCACTGTCTGCATGGCACCAGTGCCGTAAAACCGAAGCGTGATGAGCACCTTCAGCAGCGGTGGGAGCGGGGTTCCCCTTCGGTCCGTGTTCTTTTTCAACTGCAGTTCCGACATGATTGCAATGACAGACGCCTTGGTGAAACGAAACCTGAATGAAAAGTCTTCTTCATCGTAGATTCCATGGGGTGGACCGCATCGCGAACTATCCTCACTACTGTGAACGCGAACGAATTGACAAGCGCGGTTCAACAAATCCTGAAGTCAGCCGCACTCCCGTCCGCCCACGACGCCGTTTCTTGTTTTACTGCGCGCCGTCGTGCCTGGCACCGTGCACGCACGCTCGCCGCTCGTGTCTCCCCGCAGAGGTGGGGTGGGAGGGTTGCCTCGAAAACGAAAACATCACGTGTGCTAGCTGTGAGGCGAAGCGCTCGTTCAGGGCAAGGAGCGGACCTAAGGGCGCACGAAGGTAGCCCCAAAGCAACCTTAAGCTGAGGAAGCGCAAAGGAAGCCTTCACCGAGGGCTCCTCAGTGAGGAAGCTTTCAGAGTGACATAAAGCGGCCTCACAAAAATGAAGGCTTCCTCACTGAGAAAGGAACGTTTCGTTGTTTGGCCCTTGATCTGTGCTGCCGCCACTCGAGAATGGAGAACACTTGGGATACGCCGGCTTAGTGAAATATTGAAGACTGTGCATCCAGCAATCCTCAATGATCAGGTTCAAGATTTACTTGAAGTGCGGGAAGTGTCTACTTATATTACATCCATCATGCAACAAGAAACAATATAGCATAATGGCTATAGGTACACAACACATTGGCGCATGCTTTATTTGCTTCACACAAGCATGAAATGTAACAGGAAGCTGTTGGAACTTGTGTGAAATGCGAATTCTCGCGACTATTGTGTGGTCGTGGAAAGTTTTCTTGAGCCTATGCACTCTTTTTTTTTCACATATTTCGCATTTTTCGTTTGAATGCTCCAAATAATATCCATTCGTAGACACCCATAAATTATAATACTTCGGAACAAAAAAGTGCACTGCTTTATGCCAGCTGAACAGAGAAAGTGTCGTTTCAGTGAGACTTTAAACGTGGCCAGTGCCTTACAGCAAAGGCTAGGTATCAACTTAATTGCATCAGCATACGGCCCGCCGAGGTGCTTATGGCTGCACAAAGTTGATGTACACTGAGTTGAAGATCCTTATGCGAAGACTAACAAAAAAGCTTCCAGATGATGATGATGATTAAAGGCCTCCCCTTTGAATCGGGGTGACGGCATGCGCCATCTAGCCTACCTTAATAGTTCGAGTTTAAATTCTGTCCCTCAACTCGGATGTCTTTTTAATTTTGCCCAGCCGCTACTCTTGGCTGGGATGTTATTTTATCGACTTCTCTGCTTTTCCTCCACCAATACTCCAGCCGCTGCTTAGTAATACCTACTGCTGACCAGTTAATGCTTCCATCAACCGCGAAGCCCAGCGCCTCAGGAAGTGTGACCTTCCCCCCATTTCTATCCGGCTGAATCTTTTGGCATTCCATGACTATGTGGTCGATTGTTTCTTTATTTATGCCACATCCAACACATGTCTCATCCTGTGACGAATATTTGCTCCTGTAAGTTAGAGTTCTCAAGCAGCCAGCCCGCGCCTCAAAGAGCAACGCACTACCTTTATTGTTGTCATAAAAGTTCTCTTTCCGGATCTCTTGTTTGCTTGCCTTGTAGATTCCCAGCGATCCCTTCTTTTCCATTCTCTCTTTCCACATGAGCGTCTCTATTTCCCTCACTTGCTTTTTAACTGGCCCCCTTTGCTTATTTGCCGCGGTCAAGTTATATTTAGTCGCCAGCTTTCGCGTCCTCTTCCGCCATTGGGTGTCCACACTTTTCAGGTACAGGTATCTGTGCACTCTGGCTGCCCAGTTCTTCTCATCTAAATGTCTAAGTCGCTCCTCAAACCGTATTTTACTTTGTGCTTCCCTCGCCTCAAATGAAGCCCAACCCATATCGCCTTGTACAGCCTCGTTTGTAGTCTTACTGTGAGCTCCCAGAGCTAACCTGCCGACTGCCTTTTGGTTAACCTCCAGCCCCGACAGGATATCTGGCTTTAAGCATAATACGACATTAGAGAACGTGAGCGCCGGCACCATTACCCCTTTCCAGATGCCTCGTACTACCTCGTACTTATTGTGTCCCCAAAGTGCTCTATGTTTCATTACTGCTGCATTTCGTCTTCCTTTCAGTTTGAGGTGTTCTTCATGAGCATTCAGGTAGCCTTTTCCTTCATTAAGCCAGATCCCCAAGTATTTGTACTTATTTACTAATGGTATGGCTTCCTGTTGTATCCTTATTGGTGCTACATGAGCTTCCTCGTTGAACACCATGACTCCAGATTTCTGTGGGTTAAAATGTAGGCCTAGGTACGTTGCCTCATCACCACAAATGTCAGCCAGTCTTTGAAGTTCTTCCGCATTATCCGCCAGCAGCACTATATCGTCTGCGTACATCAATCCCGGAATCCGTTGCTCCACTAACACTCCATTGCTTCGGTGTGACAAATCAAAGCCCAATCCACTCTCCTCTAGTCGTCTTTCCATTCCTCTAATGTACAGTGTGAACAGCAATGGCGAAAGAGGGCACCCCTGTTTTAAACCTCTTCGAATGTACACGGGCTCTGTGTATGTACGCCCTTCCCATGTAATGTGTGCCTTGTTATCCTCATATATTGCCCTTAGCAGCCCTACAAATTCTGACCCAATCCCCTCCCCTTCCAGTATATGCCACAGCAATCCCCTGTCCACGTTGTCATAGGCACCCTTTATGTCCAGAAACAGTAGCCATGTTGGTCTGCCCTGTGCTGCCGAAATTTCGATGGTCTGGGTTATGACGAAAAGATTGTCTTCCAAGCGTCGACCCGGCCTAAATCCATTTTGCAGTTCCCCTAAAATACCGTTACTTTCAACCCACTTCAACAACTCGGCCTTGATGGCTTGTATAGCTAATCTATAGAGCACTAAAATCTAAAAAGCCACCGTAGTCGAGCGCAAAACGTGGTGCATTCTAGCAACACTGAAACGCCCGCCTCTTTAAACGCTGTCATAGTGGCCATAACGCTGTCAGTCTTAACGCGCTTCACGAGTCAGACATGAACCCCCTTCTCCGAAGATGAGAAAGATCTCGTCCAGGACCTTGTGCTCAAATACAAGGCCGTCATCGAAAATAAGCGTACGGACGCAATATACATCAATGCAAAAGCCAAGGCATGGGAAAAACTGTGCACGGACTTCAACTGCAGGCCCTTTGTGCGCCCTCGGGACGTCAAGCAGCTAAAGAAGCTGTGGGACAACATGAAGCAAAGGTGAAAGCGGGGAAAGCGAAGCAAATCTGTGACGTCGTCACTACAGGTATGTTTCCCTTCTTTGTAAAAAGGTCGCCGCTGCTACGAGTTTTGGGGTATTTGCAGGAGGCGGCCCCCCACCACCGCCTATGGATGAAAGGCTCGCGCAGATCGAAGGCATCGTTCCGCACCTGACCACGCGGGTGCCAAATCCTTTCGACAGCGACCGGCCGCTTGCCACGCCAGCAGCCCAAAGCGCGTCGGAAATTCTGAACGGGCTGATCTGTGAAAATGGGCCAGCTGACAGTGATGAAGGTATGCCGCCTTCTGCGAACTCGATAGCGCGGCCACGGAGGTAGAAACCTCTGCAGGCAAGGTGGGCGTTTCTAGCACACCAAAGGTCACGAAAAGCGGTTGTGTTTACACGCTGTCGTGATGTGGCAAAGCATGCAGATTCCTGTCCGATTTATCTGCACTGCCACCCTGTGATGCCCTGTTCGATCTTTCCTTTTTTTCCATTGCATAGTAGTACACATGCATGATCAACCTTGAGGCCAACCTCTCTGCTTTTCTGTGTAACTAGTAACAGTGTAGAAGTGCACAAACGGAATATGACATTCTGGTAGATTGCTCTGTTTCAATTATTTGGGTGAGCGCCTGTGCCAATCACGCTAGAATTTTTCTTTCATGCATAGAAATATGTTTCACGTGCTGTGCATGCTGCCCCACCAATATCGTATACATAAGTGAGCTGTTGTCAGTGCATGCAGGTAATGGTGTTTATTGTCATTTCAAAGTATACAAACATCTAGTAAACGAAGACCGTTAATAATATTGGTATTTGTTTCATGAGGTGCTTCCTCACATTTTTTCGCTTGTCTTTCATGGATGAAACAACTTTTATTGCAGACCGAACAGAAGAACTCGGCCAAACCGACAGAGCAGCTATGCAGTCAATGCTGCAGAGCTCTCTCACACCATCCGTGGTTGGTGAAGATAGCTTATGCTTGGAAGATAGCTTATGCTTGGACGATCCCAAAGTCGATGCGGACATGAGCCAAGAGGACGCTGCTCAGCCAGGTGCACAAAGTGAAGCACCAACAGCTGGGTCAAGTGTGCGGAATGTCCGCGGAGGCAGGCTGTCTCTGTTGCAGCACACACTCGACGTAGAACTCGAGGCTCGCCTTGATGCTATAAAAGCAGATAAAAAACATAAAGAAATTGAGCACAATCAAAGAATGAAGTGTATGAGAGAAGAGCATGAGATCAAAATCAGCACCTTGAAGGAGCAAAGAAAAAATTGCAACATCCAGCACAAAATCAAGCTTCGGATCTTAAAAGAAAAAGAAGAAGTACAGAAACTGAAGCAGGCGCTCCTAAGAAAACAGCTGCAGGCAGCAGACTCTGAATAAAGGAATATCTGAGAGCATGTTTTGGAAACTTGTCACATTAACATGCAACAGCAAGCATAAGTATATTTCTTGCTGTTGTTAAATCATCAGTTCTTTTCACGTTTTGGAGATAACACACCAGATGTCTCAAATGTTATATTTAAACATCACCAAGTGTAGTGTCAGAATGTACATGTGCCTGTTCAGCTGATGTTTTGAAGTTTTCATAAAGTCATTTGAAGATATGAGCTGTGTCATGTACATTTTTCATTTACTGAAACACCACAGCGGTGCAAGTAACACTGCTTGGATAAATGCATGCAGCACTCTTTAAAGTCAACCAGACTGAAGAGAGACGACGTAGAGCAGGAACATAATTTTTGAAACAGCGCCTGAATGTAGACACTTACTTCAGGTTTGCACTGGACCTGTGTGTTCGTTCCCAGAGGAAAAACACCGGCGGATGTAGCAGCTGCGTACTTGTGCACCAGCAACAGTGTCGGGATCTCCTTGGCTGGGGTTGTCGGGTAAATTAACGTCGGGGTGTGCTTCATCGGAGAGTGGACATGGGTCCCTATGCAAACAGGCAATGTTGTGGAGTGCTGCACATGCTGTTACGATAGCTGCAGACCGATCAGTGTCCGTCAGCAGCTTTGCCCGCAGGCATGCGAAGTGCCTTTTCCACACTCCAAATGTACGCTCCACACTGTTCCTTGTTTTTATCTGGCTCTTGTTGTACCTGCACAAAACGAGAGAATGTGCAAATCATGCATGAGCAGCAAGCGCTATGTGCAAAAGCATTTGTGAACATGTCAAGATACAACCACTGATACATCATCACAATTATTAGGAAGAAACAGTTTTGTTTTTGAAGATAACAACTTGCGTGTTTCATTTTAAATGTGTTTTGATACATCCTGTGTTATTGGCACGTGCACATCATGGGTATGCTTTTCAAGATAACAAAGAATTTGCTGTGGGACAGCATACAGTAAACCTGTTCAGAGACTGCAGTAAAGCATGTGTATGCTTGTATGAGAGCAAATTTAAAATTTAAGTGGTTTGCGTCTAGGAACACCTTTTCTCTTTGTTTTTACAGTGGGCTTTACAGTTGCAGGTACTTCATTTGTTCCAAGAAATTTTGACATTTATCTTATAAACGGCAGGTTTTTAATCTAGTTTTCATAAGGGACACTGCAATTTTAGTGCTTCAAGTACTATTGTGCCAAGTAGCGCACCTATTATAATTTCCATGCTGAGGTTCATGTGCTGTTACCTCTTTTCTGCGCTTGTTTGAGGATTCTTCAGTGGTGTCATGAGGAATGGTAGGCACGCATACCCCTGGTCACCAAGGAGAACGCCAGGTACAGCCTTCTGTTCGTAGCGAGCCATCACTCTGCTGTTGGTGAATATTCTGCTGTCATGCACAGATCCAGGCCAACTGGCAACTACGTCAAAGAATTGGAGCTCGGGACCAGTGATAGCCTGCGAATCAAGTATTGTGCATTTCTTAGAAATATTTTCACACAAAAGCAACAGCCATGTTTCAATGTGTGTAACTTGGAAAATTCTAAAAATGTGCACTTCCCCACCACAAACCCTCATGCAACTGTTAAGCACACTGTGCCCGGATAAGAAGTGCCTAATACAACAGGCCTTCACAACCCTTGGTTTTTATCAACCTACATGACAGTTATGCAATTTAGATCAGTGCATTGATGGTGCATATTTACTGAAATTTATTTTAAGTTACTGATACACAACATAGTCATGGGTGCGACATTACTGATTATCACATTACCATGTTCAAACGCCAGCTAAGCTACTTTAAAAAATGGCGATTAAAAAGAAAGTGACATTCAATGGAGTACCTTTCTGAAGCTGTACGTTTCATATGTAAAAGAAAAATTGGCAATGGACAGTGGTACCTGAATGGTGTGTATTCACCATGGGCATGTGCAACAAAAGTAACCCCATTTCTACAGCAACGGCACAGCTTTGAAAACGTGCGTCTATACAACGCTGTCGGAAAAGTTACACACATCAAACAGGTTAAGAAAAGAAAAAAAAATGAGACGAAGGCGTCACTTTACCTGCACATTAAGTGAGGAGTATCCCTTGCGGTTGCGGAAGACCTCGGCGTTCTCGCCTCCAGGGCTCACAATCGGGACGTGCGTGCAGTCTATACACCCCGTTACACCTGGAAACAGGCCAATTGCGTAGAAGCGGGCCATCACAGCATTCGCGTCTGCTGCATCGGGGAGTCACACATATTTGGGAAACAGACGCAAACATATGACCTGGGTGATCTCCCAGACACAACGCGACACATACTGCTGTGAGACGCGCACGAGGTCGCCAACCACTGTCTGCATGGCACCAGTGCCGTAAAACCGAAGCGTGATGAGCACCTTCAGCAGCGGTGGGAGCGGGGTTCCCCTTCGGTCCGTGTTCTTTTTCAACTGCAGTTCCGACATGATTGCAATGACAGACGCCTTGGTGAAACGAAACCTGAATGAAAAGTCTTCTTCATCGTAGAATTCCATGGGGTGGACCGCATCGCGAACTATCCTCACTACTGGTGAATACCGGTAGACCTCTCCGAATGCGAATTGACAAGCGCGGTTCAACAAATCCCTGAAGTCAGCCGCACTCCCGTCCGCCCACGACGCCGTTTCTTGTTTTACTGCGCGCCGTCGTGCCTGGCACCGTGCACGCACGCTCGCCGCTCGTGTCTCCCCGCAGAGGTGGGGTGGGAGGGTTGCCTCGAAAACGAAAACATCACGTGTGCTAGCTGTGAGGCGAAGCGCTCGTTCAGGGCAAGGAGCGGACCTAAGGGCGCACGAAGGTAGCCCCAAAGCAACCTTAAGCTGAGGAAGCGCAAAGGAAGCCTTCACCGAGGGCTCCTCAGTGAGGAAGCTTTCAGAGTGACATAAAGCGGCCTCACAAAAATGAAGGCTTCCTCACTGAGGAAAGGAACGTTTCGTTGTTTGGCCCTTGATCTGTGCTGCCGCCACTCGAGAATGGAGAACACTTGGGATACGCCGGCTTAGTGAAATATTGAAGACTGTGCATCCAGCAATCCTCAATGATCAGGTTCAAGATTTACTTGAAGTGCGGGAAGTGTCTACTTATATTACATCCATCATGCAACAAGAAACAATATAGCATAATGGCTATAGGTACACAACACATTGGCGCATGCTTTATTTGCTTCACACAAGCATGAAATGTAACAGGAAGCTGTTGGAACTTGTGTGAAATGCGAATTCTCGCGACTATTGTGTGGTCGTGGAAAGTTTTCTTGAGCCTATGCACTCTTTTTTTTTCACATATTTCGCATTTTTCGTTTGAATGCTCCCAAATAATATCCATTCGTAGACACCCATAAATTATAATACTTCGGAACAAAAAAGTGCACTGCTTTATGCCAGCTGAACAGAGAAAGTGTCGTTTCAGTGAGACTTTAAACGTGGCCAGTGCCTTACAGCAAAGGCTAGGTATCAACTTAATTGCATCAGCATACGGCCCGCCGAGGTGCTTATGGCTGCACAAAGTTGATGTACACTGAGTTGAAGATCCTTATGCGAAGACTAACAAAAAAAGCTTCCAAACAATTAAGCTGGAACCAGATGAGTCAAAGCTTTTCCCGAAGCTTCGTTGATACGTAGCTTATACAACTGAGCTCCCAATAATACTTAAGTAAGGTGTGGGACTAGCACCAACAAAAAAAAAAAAAGAACTAGATTAGTTGAATTCACCGGCACGTGGTTTTTCAATGTATATTCAATGCTGTTTGCTTTTTTTTATTTTATTTTTGTACATTCATTGATTTGATTGTGATGTCATGTGACAGGTATAAATAGTCTTCGGTGTTGTAAAGTAGGGATATCATTAATGGCCATGATCGTTGTTGGCGAGTCATTTCTGTGGTAGGCATTAATGATAAAGCGAACCGCCTTTCGCTGCACCATCTCGAGCTTCTTAACATCTATCTTTATATTTGGGTTATATAAATGGGCAGCGTACGATGCCCAGGCTACCGATGTTGTCACCGGACAACAGTGAGGTCATAGCTTCTCTCGACTTCGACGCTTTGGCGTATCGTGCTCTGGCACTCAGCCAGGGGGTGTCACAGCAGACCCATCCCCCCCTTCCCCGAACTTTTTCTCTCCATGGCATAAAGAGTGAAAAATGGCCATTTCAAGCGGGCGTTATCTGCCCTAACCCTAAAGACTTCTCCCTACTTATCAGGGAGATTGGAGGCCAGTCCACTGTAGTGGGTAGAACCCTGCTACGAAATTCCAACCATCCGACCAGCTCAAAGACAAGAAGAAAGAAGAACAGCTTGAAAATGGAGACCAAATACGCTACGGCCGTCGTCCTCGAAGACCTGCCCCTGTACTGGGACCCTCGGTACAAGAGGTACTTCTACCGAGGTGTGATGCCATCGCCGACCGGTACACCGGCACTGGAGGCACTGTACGCGGCACCCATGATCGACGTCGTCATCTCCGAGGACACACCCGCTGCGACCCCCATCTTCGTGGGCCGAGACGCCGAGGGAAGCAAGATCCGTCCGAGCAGCGGGAACCGAGTCCGCTGGATGCCCGGCATCCCCTCGCCTCAGCGCAAGGTTGCGGAAGAAGTCGAAGAGTGGAACATGCCTATGTCCCTTTTCGTCTTCACTATGATCGTACTCGGTTTACTTATATTCTTGGCTATCCTAATACTGTGGATAATCCTCAGCGACGACAAAGACACCTCGGAGACGTCGACTTGGGAAGGCGAAGATGAAGGCATCGACGACTTCGGGCTGCTCGCCAGGCCCTTCAGGGTCCGCAGTCTAGCTAGTACAGAGAACATGACAGTCGCCGACGTAGTTAAGCTACTCGTCAGCCGTTGAACACATGGGCTTGAATTCCATCCTACACTGCACCATTGCAGGGAACGCATTTGTCGCTGTATTGATTCGGGGAATGAAATACCTATTTATACAACCTATATTGTGATTCGATAAAACTTGCTGCAGGGTGAGTTGGATCATACTTGGTAGTTAACTATGGTTGCACATTATAGAACACGAAGACATACGGCAGACACAGACGGGTACGAAATTACAACTAAAGTTGTAAGTTTACAACTCAAAACTTGGAACTTAGTACGTTTGCGCTTGTCCATGTCTCGTGTTATGTGTTCTAAGCGGGCTACCATAGTTAACTACTATAGTGTATTACTTGTAATACTACAGTGTAATACACTGTGCCGCATTAAGTCAAGCATGATAATCATACGTGCAATGATGAGAACGTTAGAGAACAGAATTGATTAGTGAAGCGTCTGACACCATTTCACACGTTCATTGTCATCTTTGTCGGGAAGACGGAAAAAAAAAGAAAATCGGGCGCGAACCATGCAGTTCAATGTTCCGCATAGCTGTGTTTGCCTCCAGTTGAAGAAGTTCCCCCTATCGGAAAAATTGCCATGGTGGATACTGGAAAACATGGTGGGAGTAGTGGAAATAATAGTGGGCATGGTGGAAATTATGATGGCTATGGTGGGACGTAGTGGAAAATATGGTGGTTATGCTGGGACATACTGGGTAGTATGGTGTACAGATGATGGGTAAAGTGGAAATGATGGTGGAAAGCAGAGGCTAGATAGTGGGCAATAATGGGACACTCTGCCCACCATTGCGATAATGCTGGGAAGCCCTAAGCATATGGTGGGTGGTGCTTATTATGGTGGGCTACATGGTGTACCATGTTGAGAAACTCTTCCCACCATTGCGATAATGCTGGGAAGCACTAAGCAGATGATGGGTGCTGCTTGTTATGGTGGGCAACATGGTGTACCAAACTGAGAAGCTCTGCCCACCATCGCGATAATGCTGGGAAGCAGTAAGCAGATGATGGGTGGGCTTATAATGGCGTGCAATTTATATAGTGTACAAAGCTGGGATCTGTACACTACATGTTCTACCACCATTATTTCCACCAAAGGTTAGGCCTACTGACCGAGCCCGTACAATCGTGTTATCCGTGCTTCCGGGTTTCAGAATACATGATTATGACGATTAAGTATGACAATACAGCGCGGCCATATGGCATCAACTAACCTAAGTGAAGCATTTTTCATTGTGTATGGTGTCCGCTCAAGAAGCAACAAATATCGATGCGACGCAATTAAAGCGCTCCCAGAGAACGTAATTAAGTGTCTTCTCACCGACAGCCGCCGGTCGCACTCGCCGGCACTTCTCTAGCTATTGTACGGGAACTCAGAAGTGGCAATTCGTAAGCTTGGTGAACCAATATGATAGCGTAATGTTTCCGGCACACTGAATTCGTTTTTGCCAAGCCGTTATGTAGTTGTTGCTTTAGCGAAAGAGCTACAGCATTGCGTTGGCACGACCGCCCTCTACATTGCGCGAAAAGCATCTCAATACTCAATCAAATAAATTAGGCGGGCGTATCTATGGAATGAGCCTAGAAGTGTCATAAAGCGTGAGCAGATGTCGCCCTTTAGAACGAGCGCGAAACGGATATTAAACTTGGCAGACCCCGCCGGTAAACTGTTGCTGCTCCCCAGTCCACTTGTTTTTTTTTTTCTTGAAGTTGTGAATTGTAAAAAAAAAAGCTCTAGTGCCATTAACACAGTGGCAATCGTTACAGGCCGCAGTTGCTTGTGTTTAATAAATGTGCAATTTTTAGTAGCAGGTGTACATCTTGTCTATGTTGTGTACACGACAAACATATAACTTAAGTTGAACCGTAAGTTTGTATGCCAACTAAGTATTCAACGCACCATCAACGTCATGTTGGTATGGCGCAGTGCATTCTTTCGCCGGCACTCGCACGCGTCGGACGCAGGAATCATGGGCTCCCGCGGAGCGGCAAAGGCGGTCCTTGGTGGCCGCGGAAACAGGATTACAGACGAAAGTGACAAGGATTTTGAGATCATCTTGCCGAATCTGTCAACAGGACGTATTGTTGTGAACACAGTGTTTTTGCACGGTGATATTCGAGTGAGGCCTTTCAAGGTCGAAGATTTCCGAGATGCCCTGGACAAGGAACGACTGCTTCCCGACGTAATAGCATTGGGCGCCTACCAGATCAACCATGTGTGGGCCGTCATCTTAACAGCCAGGAGGCGACGAAGAGGTTGACTGAACTAAAAGAACTCCAGGTCAAGGGACGCCGCTGCCTCGTTATCGACCTCAGAGCAGAAGGTGAGGCTGCGGCTTCACTGGCTGTTACACGCGTTTCGGACGAAGATGTCCGCACGGCGTTGGAAGCGTTCGGGAAAGTTACAGAAGTGACCCGGGAACGCTGGCGTGTGGAAGGAGGTAAATGAGACTACGACCCGCACTGTTTTCTTAAGCTGAAAAGCGGTATGAAAGTCGAGGACCTACCTCTCAGATACTAGTCGCCGGTGAATTAGCCTTAGTAGTACCCCAGTCGGCCTATGCAATGCCTGCGTTGCAGGCGGAACAGGACAGGTGCGTCGCGAGTGTAAGGGGCCTCGGTGCTCGCGCTGCCGCGTTCGG